AGGCAACAGGAAATCAGGTGGTTCCAAGGCTGCCTGTTGGGCTGATTTAAATATCAGGTGGCAGAGCTGTGCAAAGCACCAGGAAATAATTGAGATTGGATGGAAATGTGGCCACCTTTAGTCATGTACCTGTAACAGTCCTTGGCTGTCCTTTAAGTAAATAATACTTTGCCAGAAGGACACAAAGAGAGGTGATATGAAATTCCGCATTATCAGAACTGAAGGAGATGATCTAGCATGACAGATTTGGACCACTTCCAAACTGTGTCTAAAAAATGAAGTCTTTCCCTCATAATTCAAGCTGTTTAAAAAAACCCAACCAAACAAACAACAAAAACCCGCCTACTAGATCACCTTAGAGAGGAGTGAATTAATAACAACTGAGGTAAGCCATGAAAGCTAGAACACATAAGATGCAACTTTGGGTATATATCTAGAAACCTGTGTTATTCTCCTCTCAGCTATTTTGATATTCCATTGATACATGTACTTCACTGGAGTTGTTGCAGATACGAACTGGAGAAAGAATCCACTGCCAGTAGGCAACAGAAATAACTGGGGCTTCTATTTTGTTAACCACCAAACTCATACAGTAGGTTATTCAGCACAATTAAAAATTATCCTAATCTAATGTGATAAATTGTTAGGATAGTTGACACAAGACCTTGATATAGTGAGTTTCCTTTGGAGAGTGCCAAACATTCAAATGAAAGTAACCCCTTGGATGCACAAACAACATATTAGTGTGAGAAATTCCCATTAAAATGTGTTCACAAGTTTCATAGGTACAACATATTGTGATAGGTCAAGTCCTCTTTAAATTTACCCTGAATTAAGATCTATTTTGATGTTTTACTTCCTTAAACTTTGATATTTTCTGGGGTTTGGTACGCTAGATTAGTAGCGTATTATGCCTAAACAAATGTAAAATAATATGTAACATCAAGGGTAGCTTGTTACATCTGTAAGCACAGTTTGCTTTTAGTTTAAAGGCCCTAAGGTAGAAATCCTTTGTGAAATATAATAAACGTGAGTGGCATTTATTAAAAACACTAAAATAACTGTACTGACTGGAAATTTTTTCCCCCCTTCTAAACTCTTGGCTCTCTAGGTTTTCCATTGGGTATCTAAGTAGGATTGAGGGCTTTTGCTGGAGGTTGATAATATTGTATTGCTAAATAGTTTCGTATTCTTCTTTTAAAGACGTGTTCACAGAAACTCAGTGTGGCAGGAATATCTTAAAATAGCACCAGGATTGGAAACAATGTGACTAAAATGTGAACAAACAGTTCTGGAAAGCACATAACTTAGGGTGAGTTCTTTGTAGGTCAGGAAAAGCATCTGTATTTGAAAAGAGTTCTGCAGACTTGACTTGCTTTTATATTCCAGGGATCTCTGACAGGGTTGTTACTATTTGGAAATCTTAAAGAATTTAAACTGGAAGCTTCCCTTCGTGTTTTGTTGCAGAATATACTGAAGTCTTTAATTTTTGTCCTAGATTTTTTTTAAATTTCTTTTTACCATCCACTTCACTATCTAACTGTAATGTAAATTCAGGTTTCTTTCTGTCATCGGGTAGGAGCCAACAAAGCGTCTCAGACAAAGGCATAAACTGAGGACATACTGCTGTGAAGTTAGTGCAATTTACAGTATACCATTACTGTCCATTAACTTTTGGGTGCTATTGGGAAGTGAGGCTGAAGTATCTGTGCCACATTGTGTGGAATAGGTCACCTTTTCTTTTAAAGAAAGTCTATTGACATAGCTAATTACACTGTTCTAAGCTTACGCTCATAACATGCTTGTGTAGGCTGGAGTGACTTTTGAGCTCTTACTCGTGTGGTGGGAAGTTCACTGTATGCAGAGATTCTTGCAGGAGCAGAGGCCTTGGATATAGCATTTAGAATAGAAAGGCACAGGCTGGTATGATTACAGACAGTTCATTGGTCACACTTCTTTAATGAATGTAGGTTGTATAAGAAATCAGTCTCGGCCAACAAAAAACTGTCCAGGAAGACATGCTATTACGAAACTTGCTTACCTAGGCAGTTTCCCCCCTGTGTATTTTGGGATTTGTGCTAGCCACAGGGGTTCTTCCACTAAGTTCAGAGTTGCATAAGGGTTATTTAAGCATGTTTGCTTCATTTCAGGAGATGTCTGACCTCTGGCAATCAGAGTATGCTCGGTGTGGTAGACCATGGTGGAGAGGATTTTTAACAAACCAGTAATCATGAATGTTAACAACTTGGTTTGGATTCCTTAAATGTTTTTCTTGTTGTCTTTCTAGATGTAATTCAAGGGCAAGATGTGTCTCATTATGTTCATTTGAGTAGTGAAAAATCCATTTAACCACCGGAAGAAATTCGAGGTTTCTCTGCTGTATTTGTAGTTCATGTGTACCTATAACTGTTTTTTTAAGATAAATTGTGTCAGTACAATGGATGAAATTAGTCCATACACAAAGACCTATAGCTCTTTTTGTTGCCTAAGAATCTAGCTCTCCTAAGCAAATTCAGTTATTGCATTTGTATCCTCTAGTCTGTTCCATTTACAGTAGCTTTGCCTACCACTGAGATACAGTGAGATGCTTTTGGAATGATGATAACAATTTGTGCAGTAGTGTTGGGTTTTTTAAGATCTCTACTCAGTTAAAAGCATCTTTCAAAAACTTAAATACAGTTCACATAAAAGTAGTCGTTCCTTTCAGAAGGTCAGCAAAATACACAGCTATGAATGTAAAAGATTTGTATACCATTACAATTGAAGGCTGTTGTTTAGATTGGAGGGGATACTTTAAAAGTTCTCCAGCCACTTCCTTGCGCGGTCAGGGGAAAGGTGCTCTTGAAAAGTCTACTCTCAATTTGTGTGCTCTTCACTGTACTTTCAGCTTATGTAAATGCTATAATACTTGCTATCATTCTGTAAGACGTGGCAGTGAAATGGTTAATTTTTAATTCTGGAATCAATGCCAGTCAGCTTTAAACTCAGCCATTTGAGTTGGGAAATAAAGATGGCAGGCATGTGCCACTAGTCCTTTAGCTACGTTAGTCTGATAGGTCACAGACTTTTGGAGTGGAGGGGGGATTTTTGGCATTACTTGACTATGTTTTGATACTTTTATATCTTTTTGAACTTGAGTCCTCACCAACCCTCTTCTTTGACTCTTTCTACACCCAGTAACTTAATCTCTTAACGTTATACATGGTTTTATGAAAGGGCCCTTGCAGTGAAGGTCTTTTTTTGTAGCATGGTTTGTTCCTGCACAGACTTTTCATCTCATAAAGCTTGGGAGGAGTTGGTGAAAGACGGTGACTGTACAAAAGCACAAAGGATTTACTCCTTGTCGTTCAAAACAGACAATAACTTTCAACATTTGTATGGATAAATACCACCCTGTTATGGTTCACAGAAGCAAAACTGAGGTGAAAAGTGTTTCTTTACCAGGTTGTTTTTATCAGTTGCCTTCCTGTATAAGCTGCTACGATCATTTGTGTTTGTCTAAGAGAAGCCTTAGTTTTCTCTGAGAAAAGCAGAGAGAAGAGGAGAATTTATCTCAGAATTTCTCTGGGCTCCCAGTATGTTTAAATGGTCTTGGCAGCAGGATGCCTCTTCTGGCATCATTCCACCAAAAATCTGCTGTCTAGTAATCTGTTGTAATTCAGTCTGCTTGAAATTGCAGGGAGGATTGTTGAAAGAAGTGCTAAATGTATGCCACCTGCTCCCACCATTAGGTGCTGTGAGTATTCAATATGAAGAAGAAAATGCTATAGAGAGCAGTGTTCACGGAAAGAACAGGATTGGTGGGCGAGCATTCCCAGCTCTTTTTTAAATAATGCATGTGTGGCGTATTTACATGAGTGTGACAGTGAAGGGAACCTGTGAGCTTTGGCTCATATCCAGAGCTAAGAAAAAAATCCGTAATGCCCTGGGCAAAAATGTTGTGTTCTAGTCTGCTCTCCAGCTGGAGGCTCCTCTCTCTCTTCGTCTCTCTTTTTTAAAATGTGCTTTCTTTTAAGAGAGGACATGCTCTGATTCTTTGATCAATGTAGAACATGTTCCCTGCAATGAACCTGTTTCTCTTGGGTGTCTTAGGCTTTTGAAACTCTTCAGCAACAGTAAAGATGGGCTGGAGTCCCCAGCCCTTGGAGAATGTAAGGAAGTCCAAAGAACTTCCCTCCACTGAGTGCTTATGAAAGAGTACATGACAACTCACTAGAGAAGATACTGCACCTTACTTTGTTAGCAACGCTGCATCCACAAGAAGGACTAATGAGCCAGAGTGGTCCAGCATGGAAGCTGTACTCCAAGAAGAGATGAAGATTGAAATTTTCCAGAAAATCTTATAGTAGTTGTGTAGTGGTGATGGAGATATCTCCAAGCAGATCTCATGCTTTTTGTGCTAAGGGGCAACAAGAGCTTTTTTTCCCTTAAGAAGGGAACATCTTGGACTTACAGATTTAATGACCATTAGAAGTAAGCCCTTTAAGGTTGAAAATTTACTTTGGCAAACTTTTTTTTAGTGCAACAGAAATATTGAACAACTATGTATGTCCAGGTTTGCCTGTCTTGATGCATTTGGAATGTTCTTAATTGGATGGGTTCAAAGGGGTGGAGGGAAAGAATCTGATTTTAAAATGGAAGTTTAAACAGGAGAAAGAATATTGGAGCAGGGCATTTGGGTCCAGCTCCATTTTTCTGGGTATAGTTAGAATTCTTATTGGGAAGAGGAAGTAAGAGAATTGACTTTGTAGGTATGTCATTATTAGCTTAGTGTACAGACAGAACACTTTGCTCTGCTCTGTGCAGTGTATAACAATCATGTTATCTCACTGAATGCTGGATTTTGCAAATACAATCTAGAGAGCGAAGCTAAGCCAGCCTGCTAAAAACAGCACCTGCATTCCAGTGGCTAGTGCAGATCATGTGATGGAAGTTATAACCCAGGTAAAATGTTAATCACTAAACTTGGCACAGTTGAAGCTTTTAATCTTTTATTGCAGTTTTCTAGGGAGAGGCAAGTTATGGACAACAGCCCAGAAAAACTGAAGAAGGAGTTAGAGGAAGAACTGCAGCTAAGTAGTGAAGACTTGCGTAGCCATGCCTGGTACCATGGACGTATTCCTCGGCAGGTATGTGGTCTTTGCATTGCCAAATGTGCTTTGAGCTTTTATAGATAATCAGAATTGCACTGAAGTGCTATACACATCTCTGATATCTGCATTAATTTAGTAGAAACGTAATGCTTACTCGTGTGAAAGCTGTAGTATTTATCACAGCTTGGCGTAAAATAAAGGAAAGATTTAGGGCAGACACTGGTGGAAAATATAGATATTTCAGGGTTTGTGTGCACTGAATAAAGGTGGAAACGGAATTTAAGCTTCATATGAGAATACTATTCCCACATACTGTTCAGACACACCGACATTAATTTGGTTCAGTATTCTTAACCAAAGTTAAAATGTTCTTGTTTAATTTCTTTCTTGCACTTGGAGTTTGGGGGAGGGAAAAAAACCCACAACAAAATCTATGCAATGACTTCATTTTGATCCTTACAATCGTAGCTAAAAATACGTTAAAGCTGTCGTTGGATTGGAGCTTAGGTTCCCAGAGCACCTGGAGCTCCCCCTGCGGGCCTCCCTCCTGTGCGTACCCGGCTCCCACCAGAGCTGCGAGCTGCCAAGTTAGAACAGGCACAGCAGCCACATACACTGCACTTAAGATTAACTGTTAGATGCGTAATTTATCACATGAAAGGACTAACTCAAAACAGAAAAACAGGATTTTTCTGACTCTTCTTAGTACTATGCAGTATTCACAAAGAATAAAAAATGAAAGCTTCTGTCCCTTAAGGTAATAATGAAAGGACAATCTTTGGGGTCCGTAGTAATGGCTTCTAAACTTCAGCGTGACTGTTGAGATACTTTAAACTCTAAAATCCTGAGTCATTGCTTTCCCTTCATGCCTTATTTTCCTTAGCAAACTAGAAGAAATATATATGCAAAAGTGGGTCATGCTTCTGGCTGCTGGGCATTTTCCAGGAAGCCCTTCCAGATCTTCGCTGTGGGATGAGCTCTTAATTTTAGAATTGGAGACATCGTTCTTCTACCACACATTCTTCATGCTTTGCTTTGTATTTCTGGCTTTGTGTGTCCTCCCAGGGCAGCCAAATGAAGTCCTATGTTCAAGAATATATTGTTGCGATGTGTTGTTTGACTACTTGTTTTCTGAATCTTAAAGTATTTTTTTGTATAATTCTTTTTCCTCTAAGGTGGCAGAAGTCCTAGTTCAGAGAGATGGAGATTTTCTGATTAGGGATTCTCTCTCCAGTCCTGGGAACTTTGTTCTTACCTGTCAGTGGAAAAATACCTCTCAGCATTTTAAAATCAACAGAACAGTTCTAAGACTCAATGAAGCCTACTGCCGTGTTCAGTATCAGTTTGAACTTGAAAGTTTTGACAGTATCCCCGGCTTAGTTAGATACTATGTTGGGAATCGCACACCAATATCAAAGCAGAGCGGAGCAATTATTTTTCAGCCTATCAACAGGACTGTGCCTCTCAGGTGTCTAGAAGAAAAGTATGGTGTAACTCCAGTCCGACATAAAGAGCCAAATATCCCTGAAAGGAAAACAGAAACTGCAAAAAGGCTGAGTCTTGGTATGTCCAGCATGCAATCCCCGGAGCAGAGCATACCCAGAGGAAATCTTTTGAGGTACTTTAATTTTGCTGTCCTTATGGAGGGAAATGAGGTAAATCTGTCAGCTCCAGCTGTAGGTGATGTGAATTTTCACTCTGATTTCAGATTGGAAGACTAGGTGTGAGGGTTTGCTGATTTTTAGCTAAGCATTTTTTAGGGCTTGATTTTTGAAACTTCCTGACATCGTTAAGAAGATGCTAACTACTTTGTGGTTATGGGGCTTGATCTTTAGAAAATTTAAGCTACATTAAGGAGGTAAAATAAGCGGGGATGGATGAAGCCATGATGTAAGTGGCAAGGCTGCACGCAGTCTTCACTCATCATGTGACCCAGAGCATGCTCCAGGTTTATGGGGAGGCTCTTACTCCTGATACTTGCATTAGAATAGTGACAAAATAGTGCTTCCTGAATGCCATTTGATTAGCCTGGCAAAATAAAGTAATTCTAGCAGACTGGTAAATGAGTGCAATAATCAGATTCTGAAAATATCTTTGGAAAAACAAGATGCATGTCTGCAGTTCCAAAGGGACTAGTTGCTTAAAGGTGGTTATGGCTTTGGCTCTGGTTCTCCATTTGCAGGTTGATGCATATTGGGGAGAGGGAAGGGATAATTCATTTTAAATCCACAGAGTGAGAGTAAATGCAGACTCTGGAAGCACAACAGCAGTGCAACTTGTTCTTCAGTGACTTGGCAAATCTTGACTAGTATAAGACAAAGGATTAAAATAAAATCTTACTGCTGCTCCAGAGAAGTCTTTCTTTCCATATTTGACTTCTGCAAGAAAAATACCAGATGTGGGATAATGGATCCTAATTTCAGTGTCCAAATGAAATGTTCCATTAGAAAGTCTCAACATTCAAAGAAACATCCTCATGAAAGGGTCACACGTATTATAGCCCATTTCATTGCTACCACAACATCATGAAGTACCTTTTATTCTTATAAGCTGCCCAAGTGGACAGCTAATGATCCTTGCCCTGGTTATGATATATTCTGGCAGTTAGTTATGTATGTTAAGAGTGTTGGATATATTGATATGTTTTTGTTTGCATTTTTGTTTACCCTAGAAACAAAGAAAAAAGTGGTAGCCAGCCAGCTAGTTTGGATCATGTTCTGGAGAAAAGATTCCCTCTAAAGGCTCACCAGTCAGAGAGCTATCTGCTAATAGGTACGTTTTGTAATTAAATGTTTCGTACTTAGAATCTGTGTGTGCCCAGGTGGTCTGTTACACTTCAGACCAAAGTGAGACTGTTGAGTGTTCTGAGTACTGTACATACAGTTATATTTAATGGCCAATGTAAGCTGTGTTAGCATACTGATTGCTCTTTAAGTCATTGGAAGAGGTTTTTTATTTACAATGCACCAGCTAGTTGATAGGCTGCAGTTACAATGCACCTACCTTAGCACACAACTCAGCAGGCTTCCACACCAAAAAGACAGCTACAGTTGGCATTAATATTCTTTTTGACTGTATTACCTTTCATCACTTGTGCTTTACAAGAGCTGACTTGTTTCACTCATGTCATTCTGACAGAAGTCTATTAAGTAGAAATGGCGTTTCATGGAAATCCTGGTAACTGCTTTTTCTCAGGGTAAAGTAAGCAGATGTGGTAGCGTTCCTCACCAGGAGAAAAGCACTACCATGGCTTTTGTACTCAGTTCTGTCCTTCTGTCTCTCTCAATCTCTCTCTCCCCCCATCCCTTTTGCTTTTTATTCCTTTTAACACTTTTGCTGCTGTCTGGTTCCACGGCCACTGTCATCGTCTTCCTCCAGTGATACAAGTGTACCAACACTCGATCAGTTGTTGATCGTGGCTTTTTTTTTCTTAGATTCTTCAGAGGTTTAAGCAATTGTTTCCAAACTAACATACTGTGTAAGGAAGCTTGCAATGATGCATCTATTCCCACGTGGACAAATTCTAGTGTTTGACTTCCAAGCTGCTAGTCATTTTGAATACGGTAGCTGTTAAAATTTATAGTGCCTATTGTGAAAAGACTTCTCGAGACAAAGATAATATTAAGTATTTGTATAATGAGACTGTATTTTGATAGAAAGGGTGTGTTCCTGTGTTTAACAGTGGGATGGACAGACATTCATGAAACAAGTTTCTGTCCATCTGTAATTGAATTGATTATCTTATTCCAATCCATGGCTGCAAAAACTTTTCTTTTGGTACTATAACAGTTAACCTGAAGAGTACTGCTGTGCATTTTGTCATGGGGTCCTCCGAGCAGGTTCTGGTGTCATACTGCTTGTGAGTGGTGACAGGCTGTGATTTGCAGGTTTTGTTGTCTGCATAAATTGAGAGCCAGCTGGAAACAAGCGGTAAAGCCGACATGATGCAACTGGCTACTTTGCTGTAGGTACCAGCAAATGCACTGAGAACTGCAGATTGGGAATGTCTGATACAGGGTTCAGTCCTATATTGGATGCCGAAGTTTGCATATGCAATGAGTACAGGGTGAGGCACAAATATACAGAAGTATATGAATGCGTTTATCCAGCTCTTCCAATCAGCCACTGTTTAGCAAAAAGATTAGCATCCCTGAAATTCATTCCTTCCATACCTTATTGCAGGTTCAGGCTTGACTTTGGGAAGCTTTTCTTTCATCTCAAACTTGTCATTCTCAGAAATGACTCACCTTTTATGTGGTGTGGCTGGAAGTTTCTGTTTTTATAGCCTAGATCAGGTTACAAAGAAACCTCCTATTCCAGGCCATGGAGACTATCCAGCTCTGACAGTATAGCCTATGTATGCAGCAGGGACTGGAATTATTGTCAGCATTACCACAGAATAATATTATGGTGCAGCTGTTCTGTGTATTTGGGATTTGGGGAGGATCAGCAAGTGAATGGAATTTGCTGGCTAGTTCATTCCTCAAAATACAATTTCATATACATTTTTGTCAGCAAATAATTGACATGATCTGACAATATTTTCCTCCGGAAATAGCATTAAGAGGTGAACCCTGGGATAGGCATCAGGAATTGTATATGTTTTGGTATTCTAAATTACCGTTTTCCCCTGCAGGTTCAAGACATCCATCTCGATTACTTGAAGCAGATGCAGACTCCTGTCCAAGCTGTCCTGCATTTAGAACAGGCAGTGAACCTTCTCTAAGCCCCACAGTTGCTCAGAAAGTCACCTCTGAGTCACAAGTAGGGGAAGCTCTTAGAGGATCAGACAGTCAGCTCTGTCCGAAGCCTCCACCTAAACCCAGCAAAGCACCCCTGATGAAGCCCCCAGATTCTCCTTTGGCTCTCTACAGTTCAGAAGGACACTATTGTGAACTAAGCCCTGCCAGAGATCCTGCAGCAACAAAACAACATTTATGTCAGAAAAACAGCTATGTGGAACATCTGACACGAAAGGAGAGGGGAACACACTCATTCAGGAACTCTGAAACAAACTATTTGATCCTGGAAGATGACCCTACAATGAACTCTGCAGATCCTTTAGAAGCTTCAGCTGAGATGGCTGAGGAAGACAGCATCTTTACGGCACCTGTTTTTGAGACAGTGTCTAGTTTTAAACCGAATGATTTTGAATCCAAACTACTTCCTCCTGAAAACAAGCCGTTGGAAACATCAATGTTAAGAAGAGTTAAGGAGCTTTTCACCAACAACAATCCAAAGATTATTGCACAGCATATTCTTAGAATGGACTGCAAGGTAAAAAAAAAAAAAATTAATCTTCTTGCATTTTATTTTATATTGTGCAAGTTTAGACTTTTTAAAGAACTGATTTGAAAAGATTAATGGGTAGATTTGCAGCTAATGTAATAAATGTATTGACTTGCTTGCAGGAATTTTTAGGGTGGTGGGTTTTTTTCCCATTTGAAGAACAAGCATGTTAACAAACCCTTTGGACTAAAAGTCTCCCACCATCCTTGACTTTAGACTCAAATTCTCAGTGTTGCATACATCTTTTTTATCTCCAATCGGTTGCTGTATATCTGTGATTCAGCTTTTCTTCTATACTGGAGGAAGAGCTATCTATGTAAACCATTGTGAAAAGAACTACTTGTGACAGGAAATAGCTAGTTAGCTTGTAAGGGCAAACAGTAGACAGACATCACCTGGTTGCCATACTGCTGGCCGTAATGCAAGACATTCAGTGGAACTTCTAAAACTAGCTGCTCTTCTAAACTTTGTCTGAGTCTCTGTCTTACAACTGGATATGTGGTGTGGGAAAATAGCTATCAGGACTTCTGCATTTCTCTCCTATGACAGAAATGTATTGTTAGTGGAATTGTTTAGAAAGATAAAAACACAAAGAACTATGTAGACTTTTTCAGCTGACAGGGCTTGGAGATTGGCTATCAGATCAGAAATACAGAAAGACAGGAGAACTAATCTCCTTATGAGATGATGACTTTGTGTAATAGAAGAAATGCAACTGCAGTTGAATCTGCACCACTTTGCTGGGATGGCTGAATGCTGTACCTGCCTCAGAGCAGCTACCGGAACCAAGTGTCATGGGCTTTGTTGGGTTTTGGTTGTTTGGTTTTTTAAGAGCAGCTTAAGAAGCAACACACATGGCTACTTACTGGGCAACTCCATTGCAGACAAGAAAGGAAGTGGGAATGGTGGTGCTCCAGAAGAAACATGTCTGTAGCACTCTCCTAGTGCTACTGCACCGAATCACACCATAGGTCTGGGAAGGGGGCAGTTCACCGGAGCACCAGTGGGATGAGTGTGTGTGAGTGCCTGCCAGCTGCTGGGTTCCTGCCAACAGCAAACACAGCTTCTCTCCTCAGTAGCAGCTTTGGCTGCTGCTTAGTGAGGCTTCATGCAGACATGGTGACTCAGAAAAACTCGGCTCCACAACTGCTTGGTCTTTTCAGAAGTGATAGATTGTGGCTTCTTTACTGTGGTTCCAAGAGTAGTAACAGCATTCTCTTTAACATTTTAGTTCCAAAATTCACCTTTTCCTCCTTCAACCTAGTAAAAGACATTCTGGTTATTGTTAATATCTTGTTCAAGAGTATGTTGCTTGAAGGCATAGGATATGCATGCCTTAAGAGAAGTAGTAAGGGGGGTTTTATATGTATATTATATTCAATTAGCTCATTATTAGTCTCCTTATTTTAAATCCTATAGAGTTTGGAATGGGGCCAAGGAAACTGGCCTGCTGAAAGTGTGGGAGCCTGTACAATTAATTAAGAGTCACTGGAGTGTTTTACAGAAACAGATTTTTGGATTTTGGAGCAGGAACAGTAACTAGCTGGGACATGTAGAGAAGTCTGTTTTATCTTCATCTTGCAGTGCTGAGAGCCAATGATTGTCATTCATTGGTAATTTGTTGCATGCTACTGCACTGATAAGAACTGCATGATACAATGAGATTGGCAAGGAACTGGGCCAGAATAAATGCTTTGTATTGAGATCTGTGGTAAGGCTGAAGTTTGTAAGTATTCTCGTGGCATCAGTAACTCAGTTTATCTTTTAAATAATGAAATTTCTAATAATGAAAGAAACACCCATATGGTAAGTGATGGAGTAAATATCTGCCACTTGCATGCCTGAGAGGGCTTGTTGTGACGAAGGAGTAGCAATCAGTGTGTCTTCCGGGGCTTCATATCACTCCTGCGTCTCTAGAAGTGAAACAGGTTTCTCTAGTGCTAGATTTTGTACCAGTGAGGCTTGTTGTGTGGCCCAGATTGCTTTCATCTTTTCATAACCAAGAAAGCCTGCTGATGGGTGTATCAGAAAATAGCAGGCAGCTTGGTTTGTAAATGTCTCAACATACAGGCGTTAAACCAGCAGATAATATCACATTATCATATTAATGTGGTTTTGCTTGTAATTAGCATATATAATTGTTATTGATATAACCAGTAGCTAATACTGTATGTTTAAAAAGCAAAGACAAATTGGTGAGGGTGTCAGCTTTCACATACTGACTTCATTAGGCACTCAACATTCAGTGTCCTCCTTGAAGTCCATTAATCCTTATGTGAGGACCCTATGGTGTAATCCAAAAACATTCTGAGCAGTTGTCTTTTTAGAAATGAAGGCGGCAAAGCAAATGTGTACATCTTTAAGGCCAAAGAGCAGTGCCACCCTGACAAGGATCAGGCCAAGAGAGCACCACATTTCCTGGAGCTTGCATATGAATCTCCTTCTGGAAGAGGATGGAAGGTTGATAAAGCATTTTGTTTACACCTTTTGTATGTTTTCTGATGGCTGAATCGTGCAAAAAAATATTTTATTGGTCTTTCTGTGTAAGGCAATGAATGTGTATAAGTTAATTAAGTTTTTCGTAGATGACTCTATTCTAATGTTGCCCGCTGTGCATTTAGCTCTCTATGCCCTGCACTAACCTGGAGGACTTCTATGTGGCTAGGGTTTTTTTTGAAGTAAATCAGTTTCAAAAACTCACGCACAAATTTTTGCACTTGACAGGTGGCAAGGATACTAGAAGTTTCTGAAGAGATGAGGAGGATTATGGGAGTGAACTCTGGTCTTGAACTGATTACCTTGCCTTACGGACATCAACTGCGCCTTGACCTAATTGAAAGGTAAAAGTTCCTGTTACTCATTTCCAGGGCAGATGGCCAGAAGATCAGATCATCGCTACATTGTATTCTACATTTCCTCAAAGAATGCTCTCCTGCATGTTTCTGAATTAATGCTACAGAAAATAATTTAGTGAGATGGCATATAACTTTTTGCATAGGAAAAATTCGTTAAGGTCATGGGGCAACTCCATGCATGTAATACAGGGGAATTGTATTGAAAGGAGGGTCCTTAGAGCTGCTGAACACCCTCAGCTCTCCTTTAAGAGCTCAGGTAAACTGAAGTTCTGGGGGCCTATAATCTAGCTGAGTGTGTAAGTGTTTGTGCAAGAAATTGAAGGTAATAGCCTTCTGCAACTGGGGAAGAGGCTAGAGGATCTAGTAAAGCAAAAAAATGATCATCAAAGCTTTCTGTAAAACCTCTGCACAAGTTAAGGGGGAACAATTAGGGCCTTCTGTCCCTGAGCTAGCACACCAAGATATTGAACTATACCTTTGAATTGAATTGATCTTTTCTGAACACGTGTACAGCATAATGTATTATTAATTTAATAATTTGTAACCAGTAGTATAAATTGTTTTACTTACAGGCACAATACCATGGCAATAGGAATAGCTGTGGATATCTTGGGTTGCACAGGAAATCTAGAAGATAGAGCAGCAACATTAAACAGGATCATCCAAGTCGCAGTGGAGCTGAAGGACTCGCTGGGGGATTTGTATGCATTTTCTGCCATTATGAAAGCGCTGGAAATGCCACAGGTAAAAATCTGTTTTTCTTTATTTTCCAAAACATGGAGTTGTTTGATGGTTTAAATTTAATTTATGCAATTTCTTCAAGACTAGAGTGATCATCAGAACAGAAACTTCTTCACTAGCAGTGTACTTTTTCTGTGAATTGCTATGATGTCAATAATGGGTATTCTCTATTTTGTTTGAACAGGTCACTAGGTTAGAACAAACCTGGACCTCTCTAAGACATCGTTATACCCAGACTGCCATTATGTATGAAAAACAGCTGAAGCCATTTAGCAAAGCTTTGCATGAAGGACAAGATGAGTGGAATAGTGAGTATGAGCAACACTGGTTTCTATTTAGCCTTTTAACTCTCCCACTACTGATTTCCTGTGTAGGGAGATAAGGCAGCTGCTGTTTTGATAGCTGTGCATCATATATGTTAAAATGACTACATGAACTCATATAATGTAGTATAAGACAATGAAATAGAAGGAAACAGTCTGCCAGCCAACTATCAGTATGTGCTTGTGTGCATGCACCCATGCAGAATGTAACATTCTGCCCAAACCCACACTCCCTCTTAGTGGAGCAGAAACTGAGATGCTCTGCATCATCTTGCCTCAAAGACAGGAAAAAAATCTTTTTCTTCCTCAGGAGAGTTACTTCTGGCATATTCTGCTTTTTATTTGCTTTGCCTATTGGATCAGAGGATGAATCCTCAAATACAAAGAATGGGTTAGTCAGGTAATTCCTCTGATCACATCAGGGGCTCCTGCATCAGATTCTTTGCAGCTCTAGTCTCCAAAGGGGTGCAAGGGGGAGATAACATTTCTCTGAACGTTTCTCTAAGAGACTGGGTAGAGAAGAAAAACCTTAGCCTCACAAAATTTATTGGAACGACCCAAATTTTAAATATGTTTAAAATCTCTGTGCCACTGTCTAATAATTCAGCAGAGCCTTCTCCTGTAGCAAATACAGTTTTCCAACACTAATTTGTCTTGGCCTTCTTCCCCAACCAGTTCACTGGAAACTGGTAGGACAGGTGTAGCTGAGATGAAGTGCTAATTTGAAAGATAGATGGAAGACAAACAGTAGTTTCCAACTTTGAAAAGAATACTGCAGTTACAATACCTTCTTCAATTAATGTCTGATGATATGATTTTGTTTGTTACTCTCTATCCCAGAGACTGTCAGTGCTCCAGAGAGCAACGTAACAGTGCCACTGCTGATGCCTCTTGTTACCTTGATGGAGCGACAAGCTGTCATTTTTGAAGGCATGGACCTGTGGGAAAGCAGTGACCAAAGCTGTGAAATAATGCTCAAGCACTTGGCCACAGCTCGTCAGATAGCACAGAACGCAGAAATGTACAGCCTGACTGCAGAACGGATGCTGGAAGGTAGGGAGCACTAGTAGGAAAACTGCTGCACATAAACAAAAATGTGTAGGTTATGTCTGAAGCATAAGGTCTCCGCTTAAGTGCCACTAAAAGTTAGTGCAAGAAATTCTCCGCTTTCATGGGAGCTGAAGCGGACAGTAAATTATTCATCACTGTAGTTCTCCAGTAAGCAACAGCGCATGCATTTTTTGCTAAACATACTCGAAGCTCTCATGACTTAATATGCTGACCCTTCTAGCAACTGAATAGCAGTACAGTAAGGACTGAGGACAACTTCCTGTCTTCGGTACAATTTAAAATTCCTACTCTGATTTTTTTGCGAAAAAACCAGCACCCATCCTTTACAGCAGCGCAAGATGCAACACTCAGATCTTGACCGCTTGCAGCCAGAAAACAGCAACATGTTAATAATGTGACTTTATATTTTAAACTTGCAGTGAAAAAGTTGAGGGGAGAGAAATGTAATTATTTCTGCAGGCAGCATGTTTACATCAGTAATTATATTTAAGGTCAGGCTATAATGACAACTCTAGACCATTAGAATTGAGCAAAGGCTAGCCTGTCCCAGTGTCCCTACAGCCATTTGTGTGCTACTAGAACGTCACAGATGGAAAGGATTTTCACTGTTTTATTAGCTTGTTAAAATCATTGTGCAAAAGGAACCCAGCACACTAAAGCTTATCTTATTTGGAGGGAATACAGTTTAAAAGCCATTTCTTCTGAATAAAAAAAACTTGCCTGATGGCGATATTGTGGGATTCTTTTTACTTACTAGGTTTCCAGCCAGATGAAGAGATGAGCGAAATCTTCAAGACAGAATTTCAAATGAGATTGCTCTGGGGCAGCAAAGGAGCCCAAGTTAATCAAAATGAAAGATATGAGAAGTTCAGCCAGATTTTAACTGCACTTTCCCGAAAACTGGAACCTCCTCCAGTGAAGCAGGTGGAACAATTAAGTATATAAGACTCCGTAAACACTATTTAAATTATATACTTGAAATAACCTTAGCCGCCTTTTGGCAATTTGATACTGCACAAACTTCTTGCATTTCACAAGATGTTTAGAACTTTTTTAATTGCACAATGCACACTTGTTTTAAAACTACTGACTTCTAAACAAATTATTTATTTACTGTGTCACCAAGTCATTTAATGATCCCTTTAAACAGTTAGGTTATCCCTGTAAGATAGTCTTACAGCTTTCTGTATCTCCCCAGTTGCAATGTTTTGGTAATGCCTAGGAGTAAGGGCATTGGCTTTAAAATGAAGCAAATAGTGTAAATAAAATGATAGATTAAGTATGTGACATTGCAGAAAATTTGTTGTATAATGTTCCTTTAATGAATATAAAACACTGTACATAGAATTGTGAATTAAAGTGTATCTTTATGCAAAGTAATTTGCAGGTTGCAGAAATGATCCTTTATCTGTGACCACAACAGAAGGCTCAAATATCACTGCACCTATGAAAGTAGAAAATAGTTGTGTATGTGTTGGGACAACTTACCTTTTTTTTAAGACAGCATCTGTAGTACTTTGGCTTTTGCTGGAACCTGCACAACAGCTATGCTGCCAGGAATGAATGATGAAATGGCAAGAACAAACAATCCAGATAATTAAAATGCTTTCAGATATGAGTAAATGTGGGTGTATGTATATATTAAACTTGCTTCATTTACTGAGGTGAATCACTTTGGTAAGTAGTATTTTTTTTTTCTTGGATGAAGGCAAAGCATAAGCTGTTAGCACTTTTAACAGGAAATCAGCGTGCATGGTGTTTACATAAAGAGTGCTTTAGCAGCAAATTCCACTTTGTCACATACAGAATTGGTGTATAAGCATTATCCTCAGAAGTTGTGTAAATATTTAAGCAAGAACTATGGTTAGAGCTGCATGCGCTCATTGTCGGTAAGCCTATTTCTGGAGTGAGATGTTACAGCATTTGAAAGTATTTGAGGAGAGTAGGCCAACAACAAACTAACACCAAAATGGTATTGTCTGTTCCCCCATCTACAATCATAGCAGAGGTTCTACCACCATAACAAGAGGCTACAGACCTCATGCTGAAAGTCTCCCTTGTCAATCTTAACAGAAGACAAATGGGGAAGCTAATTACTTAGACCATGAAAAGATTTTTTTATTCCATGAAAATATTCTCAACAGAGAACACTGTTTTTAAACAAAGCATTTAACATTTAGGAAATCAACATGTGCACAAAAGAGGATTAAAAATTACTGGAAAATGTAAGATTATTTAAGACAACTCACATTCAAAATTTTAGAATAAGTGATTTATAACTAGCTGTGCAAGTACAAATGTTTCTTTTCCTATGTTTAATAACCCTCATACAAGTTGCACTATCCCTCATGAAAGCAACCTGCCTCCAAAGGAAGCAAATCCTGGTTTTAGAAAAACAAACAGTAGCATGAAAAGAACATTTAGTCCTTTACCAGGAAGTGTTATTACTGACCTGCAAGGCTGTTAGCCAGGCAAACCACAGGCCCTTTAGCAGAAAATACACAGATCACATTTCCTCCTTTTCTCTAACTTTAAAATAAAAAAGCACTAGATTAAAAAAAAAAACAACACAAAAAAAACCAAAACAAAAAACCAACCAACAAACCCCCCAAAAAGCCCAAACCCAAAAAACTACCTAAGTAGTTTTGTCAGTATTGAGTAATGTCACATTATTATATAAATAACCCTGTATACAAGCTCCAAAAATCTAAACTTTAGAGTTTAATAGCCCCCAAAATACACTAGGTCAAGCTGTGTAATAGTGGTATACATAACAAAAGGAATAAACCTCTACACAAGTCACTCAAATTCAGTTTTACTGGTAATACAGTTCCTAATAACACTGAAATTAAAAAGAATCCAGCACTGCTGCATCCAAATATTGCTTTAGACCCCAGAAAAACAGGATGTTTTGATTATTATTTCATTTCCCCAAACAGCAGGTGGCTGGGTTGACAAGCTTGCTTTGATACAGGTATCCCTCCCCCCAACATCTCTAGTCTAATTCTTATCACCCTAATAAATCAGATATGATGTATTTATTAATAGAATCACAAATGGGAGGCAAGACAACATAAGCAATAGGGGCACTGCAGACAACTATATTTACACGTATAAACATATCCAAATTTCAATTGTTTACAAGTAAAAGTGCACATAGATCATTACGAAGTATCACTCAAATTTCAACTGGTCCATACAATGAAGCATCACCTAGAAATGGACTAGCACTGCAGTAATTAAAATTGGAACTTCATAGTCAAAAACTAAAAGACAGTTTCCATAAAAATATTTTTTAAAATATTAAAGTCAAATGAAGAGATACACATTTCAATGTATAAAATTCATGATGCACCATGTATCCAGTAAAGTAGAGCTCTAGAAAACACCGTGGCTACCTCAGCAGCTGCAGCACTGTGAAAAGAGCTGAGACACAAAGCCCTTTGTGGGATACTGTAAGTGGTAGTGTTGGCAAACAACAGATTTAGGCACTCTAGTTTAAGGCAGCATTTGAATGGCAAGCGGTTGACTTCTGAAAACAGTTACTAGCTTGCAGTGGTGAATCTCTCTGGTGGTGTTCCAGGTTTTCAGTGCTCACAACAGGTTACTGAAGTGCTGAAGATGGACCACAGTTCTAGGAGTTTCTCTTGATTGCATTGTAGGCTAGAGCTGAGATGTATTATTTCCCCAAATCAACACAAATACATTATGGTCTGTTATCAGTTATGCCAAAAACTGGAATGTAATGATGGTTGCAGTGGTATAGTTATAGCAGCATACATGGATACTGGGATGAAACTCTAGTGCTGAAGATATTTTAAACAAAATGATTTATTACAAAATAAGACAAGCAATGATGGCAAAGTGTTATGCAGACATGCCTGACTGTCCTAGGCATGCAGGAGAGAGGTTAACGGCGAGCATGGAGGTGGCACAGGCAGACTGACAACTGCCATATGGTTCTAAATGACTGCCAATTAAAATGAGTTGGAAGAGAGCATGACTGAGATAACCAAAACATAGCACAAGCTAAAACAGAGTTTGTGCATCTGGGACAACCTAGAACAATGAAAACAAAGCAATTTTAGGAGCAGTAGCCTTTTTACTCTGGTAATGGAACTCTATTTTCCTGCACAAATTGAAGAACTTGGAATACATCCTTACCTATGTATGGAGATGCTAAGATGTTAGTGACTAAATGTATGTCTGCATGCATTCATGCAACTAGCTTTTCCCCTTGGGCCTCCCAATCTAGTACCCCACCCCCACCCACCCCCCCAGCAGCTGCATGTAACCTCCTTCAAGATCTCGCCCATTTTCTCAGAAACCCGCTTCAGGAACCTGCAGTCCAAGAGGAAAAAGAAAAGAACAAAGTTACTGAAGGCCTTTAGAAGACAGAGAAGCGTGCTCAGTTCTAACAGGCCATTCTCAGCGGCTATACATTAGCCTTGTACTTAAGTCTACACACTCATTAGAAATACGAGCCACAGCTTTTAGATTAGCTTTCCCCCCCCCCCCCACAAAAAAAAACCCCCCCCCCTAGTAATCAAGTAGTGCAATGCAGTTTCCAATCCTCAGTGATTTAACAGTGAGGGGAATTACTGTACATTTAAGACCTTGATTTCAAACTAAACATGGTGCAATTAGAAGACTTAGCTTACAGGCACAGGTTAAGAATATAAAATCATTCCCTTTTCAGGAGCAGAGAGGTTTCAGTAAGACATCAAGCATTACATGTGGTCTCTTTTTTTGTTTGTCCAAGGCATCTAGAGTTAAAACAATGAAGTTGTGTCCAATACACAACACACTACATTACAAGTACTGAAAAGGAAGGAGAGAGGCAGGTCAGTGGACTTTCTGTCCTTCTTAATCATAATGTTTTTTCCTGAGTATTTTTGTTGAGCTTTCAGAATCAGAAAACATCTTCCTGTTTAAGAAGTGAAAGCTGCCAAGTATTTGCTAAGGAAGGAAATTAATAATTTTCAGAAACTGAGTTCAGTTAGTTATTAGAGGAAAAAACCCTCTGTTTTAAGCATATAGTTTAAGTCATAAAAGTGGAACAGTAAATCTTAGAGATCTTTAAAATGAAGTAGTTTTTCAGTTCTCTGTAAAAACAAAGTATTCTATAGAAAAAGAAGGAATCCTGGTCTTTTTCAGTTTAATAGCTGGACTGGAATTAGTGCTTTGTAAAGCAGAAACACTAGATCAGTTAAACAAAGCAGGAGACATTGGTCAAAATTACAGACCAGTATAAGATGCGAAATTTAACGTGGTCATCTCCAAAAAAACCTATAGCAAACTCACATTGCAAACAACAGACCATTGCTGACTTCTGATATTCTAATACTTTCCATGAACCTGTGTTACTTACTATTTTTCCAATATTTTCCCTGGGGAATGTACAACTGAAAGCTGCCAGTTTACTGTTAGATATAGGTTACTGCACCTTTGCTGTTTTTCTCTAGCGTTACATCTATATATGATGTTGGCACATAGCCTTCCTCTCCGTTATGTCTTCGAGCTCTTGTCCACCCATCTCCTTTGTCCTCCTCAATAATGTACAAAACTTCCCCTTCTTTCATTGCTAGAGTGCCTTCATTATGACCTGGGAAAGCAAGAGGCAAGGAAGGCTCAATGTTCAGACAGAATTTCAAGTCATCTTTTTCCCAGGGCATAGTTTCCAGATTATATATAAACAGGAAGAACCAAAAATCTGTGCAAGAGAACATATGGTCAAACAAGCTTACAGTCCAATTTGTAAAGCTGAATATTTGCCAATAACTGTGCTAGTATTTATCTTAGAACAGCACAAAAGTACTGCTCATGAATTAAACTGATTTATAAAATATTTCCACTGATCTTATAAGCAACTAGTTGCTCATACAGTTAATTTACTTTAAATCATTTTACCTGTCTGCTCTATAACAAATAATCCGTGTGTTATAGTCAAGTTGCCTTACAGTCAAGGAATCACAGTGCATGTTGTTAACCTTACCATCAAACGGATATATTGCCTTGCAATGTCCTATAGCTGGTAATGGATCATCATCTTCAAACTCATCATCAAACTCATTTGGATGTGCATGTTGCTGTGGTGGGCCTCGAACTTCCTGATTTGCATCATCCGTGTAACTCCCTTCAGGGCTATAATGCAATGATTGGAGCATGAGGACTCTGAAGAGTTCTTAGCTCTACAACTCAGAACATACATGCATCACAGAAAGGGCAGACTGTATATTGGTCTGGGAATGCCTGTTAGCAGTTTTTATATTTACTGCTGGAGGTGATTTTCTGAAAATACTGATCTAACAAAGGCTTGGACTGAATTCTGCTACAAAAACAAACATAAATTTGACATCCCTGTCTCTATAGAACATGGAAAACTAGTGAGCCTCATGCAATGAAGTAAGATAGCTTTAAAAGGCAGTGCTATTTAATAAGTGGGTGTTTCGATTAGACTCACTATTTTTTTATGTTACCATAATGACATGAAGTGACCTCTGGAATTCAGAACCAGTAAGATTTTGCTTTAGAAGGACATAAACTTTCAGAAGATGAGTAACAACCATCACCTACTGTTAACTACCAAAGAGATGTACTGTTTCTACCATAAGATATAAAAGCAGTAGAGATGAATAGTGACCTCTCTCTGCCCTGTGTTACAAGGTGGTTGATATCACTGCTGTGCCGCCTGTCGCTTCTGGCTGCTACTTTACCTTCAACTTCAGAGAGCCAGGCCTTGGGGAAGAAAGACAAATATTGGTGTCAAAGGTAACTTTATTCTAAACCAGCAAATACCATTTAACAAACGCACTTAACTGCATACAGTTTACTTGTCAGTACACAGCCACACAGAGAATGCATTCACATGTGAAGTCTCATAATTACTTCACATGAAGCATGAACCTATCCCTCATGATTAGCCTATACTTCATACTAGTCTTAAAGGAAAAAAAAAATCTTTAATCACATATGAATTCCAGAATAAGTGATTAATAAGAAATTCTTCTAAACAGTTTCCATCTTTAATAACGTACATCCTTATTCTAGCTCGATGAACATACTTGAAAATATAGCACCCCACAAAAAATTGTCCCAGGAGTGCTTTCTTAAATCAAGTAGTTTTTCTGGGTGCTATATTTATAACCCATAAGGCAAACTACAATTTTACCACTCATTTTCCAATGAATTGTGTTGGAGTCTAACCTCATTCTTGTGTATTTCCATCCGAAGACGGTCCATGTTGCTCATAGTCTCAGTTAATTTGGGTTGCAAACTGCCTGGATCACCCATCTGGGGATTTTTTTCATAAACATCCTTCATCTTGATGAGGGCATCTCTGAAAACATACAAAACCCGGCAATAATTATAAAAATTACATACATCAGTACTGATTCATTAAAGCTAAAATAATGTTTCTGTGTATGAGATCCTGACCTGTGATTAGATACTATGCACAGACATGAGGAACTACTGCTCCCCACACCACGCCTAAATCCTTTCCCCATTCTGTCATCTTAGCACTTTGCCTTCCTTTCTTGTGTCATGCACAAGCACACAAGGACTCCAACTGTCAACTCTTCTCTATCCAGTCTCAATACTGTTTCCCATACTGTTTGTTATACACAATATCCTAAATATTAATAATGTTCTTTTCTTAATGCACTAAGTTGCAGCTCTCTTGCTCAACAGACCTATGCATTGATTTTTTTTTTTTTTAATGCATGCTTTTAGATCCAATGTTTCCTATGCAACATTAGGATCAAAATGTGTATTATAGTAAAGCAGAAGGAAGCAATGCTAACAGAACCTACATACAATAAACCATGAACTAAAAAATGCTTTCTAATAGCCTGGACTAGCATATTCTTTCCTAGCTTCTGAGCACTGTTGGCTTAGGTAGGGGACTTCAAAAGAAACAGACATAGAGAGAACCATGACAAAACTCCAAAGCACTCACTTTTGGTCTGTTTCCTTCTGTAGTTCTCTGTTGAGTTCATCAATTCTCTGTTGCAGTTTCTTGCGTCTTTGTTCTGGAGGGAGATGGCTGAAGTCCTCTAATGCAGGGCCCTGCAAATAGAAATAGTATTAAACAGTAACACACACGTATCTGGACAGCTGAACTAACATACCCACACACGGACAGTGTTCACTGGAAGCAGGATGGACCTTCTTAAAAACCTCTACTTGACACAGAGCTCTATAAAAGACCGCAACAGAATAAATGCACGTTCTTGCTGCCAGATCATAGTCATTCATTCAAGGTTCTTTCTGCCTTCTGTAACAGTTGGCTCACAGATGTAATTCAAAATTTGTAGACTTAATTATTTTTCTGAAAAGCTGATCCATGTACCTCCTATTACATCCACTGCACTTAAAGCAGATTTAGAAAGGACAGAATTAATCACTACAGAGTAATTTCAGTCAGAACAAAAATCTAAGATGTGTATATAATAATAATAATAATAATAATACATAT